ACCTTCCATATTTTATATTAGAACTCCTTAAAGTGATCATTACACAATATAAGGACTAAGTTTTTAATAATATAGTTTAATAAATCGATTTATACACAACCAACTCGGTTTCTGTCATACAGAGATTTCACGACCGCACAACCCAACGAATACAAATATCTACAATCCAAAACGAATCGTAGACAGGCTCGAAATTATCTGATGTTCGTATTTAAGCAATTGCCAGCCTTCAATTTTTCAGAATATCATGGAAGATCTTTTCCATTCAAACTCATCTTGCGATCCTCTCCATAATTATCTCACCGCCTACAGAAGCCCTACAAGATCCAAAAGTCATATTCGCAATCCAAGATTCAAGTGTAAATTTTTTCCCTCGCAATTGTCGTGCGCTGTGGGGGCATGGTCGAAGTATCGGCCTTATCCGTCTATACCTCTGCCAAGGGCACTGACAACTCGACCTGCGGTGAATCGCCTCCGAGGTGATACGTACGACAATTCTCCAGCATATCAAATAGAGCATTCGACAAAGGCTAAGGTATCGGTCCCTTGGTCTTGAGCTCTTCGACCCATATTCGGCCTCCACGGCTAGGGGCACGGCAGCAACTGGGTAAGGCCGGAGAGATGAAAATTGTATAAAGTTTCTAAGATGCTGATGATGATAGAAGGGTAAGGAAGGCTAAAGTGGATGAATAAAAGCAGAAAAACTGAGGATAACTTGGTGGACTGCTGGATGAGGCATCTAGTGACTAATATAACCCCTGGATGAGGCAATAATCTGACTGAACGGAGAGGATAAATTAGAGGTTGGAAGGTTGTTAAGGGCTCTGGCGCGTGGTAGCCGAGATTGAGGAGAAATTTACGCTTCAGTGCGCCAAAATAGGGTTCTTTCTGGTGGGCGAAGGCTGAACTCCTTTCAGTGGTACCCTATACGAACCTGAGCGTGAAATATTCCCCCAGAGCCGAGATTCAGTCACGAAAAAGGGTGGGACGAATTTTATTTGATGTCATTTTGACTTGTAGGAGTTGCACTCGACATTTTGGTCAAAATATCAGTCGGCAGAGATTTCACAGCCGCAACAAATCGAACAAAAGCTCATCATCACTAACATACGAGTCACGAATGGGCCTAGGTCTGTCTGGGGGTCGTATTCAAAGATCTGATATCTCTCAAACTCCTCATACATTTGCGACGATCCATTTCTCAGTCTATCCCACACCTGCGACCTACTTTCATACTCGTCACATCACCTACCAACACACGCCCTAATGAGGAAAGCCATTATGGAAACAGGACGTGTACAAAGGAGGAAGAAAAGGGAAGATACACCGAGGGGATTACACAAATCCCCAATGACGACAACAACCCAATGGTACCATATGAGGGTGCAAGGCTAGAGCAATAATGAGGCCTTGGATGGCATTTATATTTCGGAGTCAATGAGGATGTTATGGGCTCGGGCGCGTGAAGGCCGAGGCTGAGGAGGAATTAGCGCTTCGGCGCGGCAAAAGGGGGTTCTCTGGACGTTTGGGGTTAACACAATTCAACACATGGGTGAAGTCTGAGGTGGTCCGGTCATTAAAGTGGGACGAGGCACTTGTACTTTACGGTAATCAACCTGATACAGCCCGGCCCCACCCGTGCTTAAGCTCCATTAGGAGTGCAACGGGAATCAATATACCTAGTATGTTAATGAACAAAAAAAGGGTTCTCTAGAAGGTTAGACTTGACATATTCAACACACGGTTGAAGTCTCAAGTGTTCTGGTCATTCACGTAGGACGAGGTTTATTGTACTTATATGGTAGTTAACATGATTCAGCCCGGCTCCATAAAAGCTCAAGCCCTCGTAGGAACGTGGAGACTGCCAATTGCTCAGCACGTTAATAAAACAAACCAAACTTCGTTGTATCTATACAAACCTCCTCATAGTTCGCGTCTTAGGGAAAGTCTAAGGTCAGGGATCTATTTGCATCATTCAGGTCGGGTTAGAATGACATATAGATTTCTACAGGGAATGTACGTTGATGAGTCGCACGGCCCAATTTTTTTTGTGCTGTTTAAGACAACGGAGAGCCGGCAAAGACGAATTCTTCACCTTCCAGTGGTGCCGGTGTAATTGCTCAGTATACTCTGCATATCTGAGATAGCTATGAAGAATCGCATCCGAATCGAAGTCGAAAGCAAACACATGTATATCTCCATTTGACGACTTCTCAACCATGCAGCACTCATCATTATCTTCTGAGTCCTCAACCCCGATCTAACCACATATCAACTCGCCTCGCCGACCGATAAAGGCGTCACCCCAATTGCAAACAGGAGCTTGCTTCATTCATTACCGCCCATCACTCTCTACATATTTACGACGCTATTTATACCCGCAAGGAGGAAATCAAGTCGAAAAATACAAAGTCGGGGTCTTGGTTTATGGGGGACTGCTGCTCTAATGGGGTTATACATCTTGAGGAAGAACAAGCGGCTGAGATGTGGAGCGAGAGGGGAAAGAGGTCTCTAAAGACCATGCTGGGACTGACATTTTCGAGGAGTTTTCAACTTTGTATCTTTTGTGGGCGCCAAGGCCAAGATTTCGGCTAATTAGCCAGGAGGGCTTCTTTTGTCGATGAGTCAACGGCACTCCCCAGCTCCCTGGACGGTACAAAAGAAGTTAGGCTAAGCTACTATACAGCAATCACGCTCTGTCAAGACTTTTCTGACATTTCAGCACGACCTTCGGGAAGGAGTTGGAAGGAGGCTAGAAAGGCAGAGTGTGAATTTCCCGAGGTACACACAAGTCTGCAGCGCCCAGCTGGCCGGCCTCTTCGAACGCTTCAGAAGGGGTAATATGTCTTCGGATTTATTCCTAATGTCGGTATTAGAAGAGCCCCGCACCCAGTGGTTTTTGCGATCTTTCCCGGCTGCCATACACCCGCAAATGGCCATCGTTTCGTTGGCTGGAGAGGGGAGATAATGAAGGGCTAAGGGCTCCTCTCAGTGTATGATCGAATGAGGACTTGTGAGGGGTGGTACTGTTTGAGGGGAGCTGTATGGGAGGCATAGGAGGGGATATACTACTGGTATAGATATCCTTGTCCTGTAGGCAGAGAGGACCTGCATGTCCTACATAGTCATAGACTCAGACAGGACAATAAAATGAATAAAAAAAAAGACAACGGAGAATGTCCCAAACTCATTAACAGTAAAATCCCGCCTCGCTAGTTTTGGATATAATCCCAGCCTGGCAATCCCAATAGTGGAAGCCATAAATACTTTGGGAACATCGCTGATCGGGTTTAAAATCCTTGCTAATTTGATCATCGTTTTGATACCCTAGACTAGACGCAACTGTATAGTAGTTATGAGCTATGAAGAAGTCAGACTGCGGCGTAATGAGGAGTGGGTGATGTTGTATTTTGGGAGTGACTGCGAATAGACTAATACAATACTATGCTGTAGGTTTCTGAGAAGAAAGTATTAGACTGTACCTTTATCCTTTTATTTTGGGTACATTTATGAATCTATATACACGCTCGCCTAACCAGTACACTAGTAATATATTCCCTAGCTCCAACTACTTTGTCGTTTCACATCAAAACAAACTGGATACTTTGTTCCAAGAAAACTGAGATAGCATGCACAAGTAAAATATTTAACATGGAGAAAAGCCTGTTACTCCCTAAAAATAGAGAGTGACACGTCAATTTTTAGTTTTAGACTTTGAGAAGACACTAGACTAATAAATAATATGGGCGCTCTACCGGAATCTTAGCGGGGCCCAAAGCAGTATTGCAGTTCAGATAAGAAGTGAGCACAATGGTCTCCATTCTTATCTGTATCAAAGGAAAGTCCACGGAGTGATAAATCCAAAATGTCAGTGTGGATATCCGTCTCAAGATGTCAAACATATGGTCTTGGCATGTCATTAGTGGGAAAGAGGAAGAGGAGAGATGCTTCGAAAGGCAAAAGATAGGTCATTTGCGGACTTGATGAACAGCCCAGACGACAGATAGAGAACCACAAAATGGATCCTGGCAAAAGGCTGCTTTGAACAATTCCGGCTTTCAGGAGAAGTAGAATTAGCATTAGACGAAAAGGTGAGACGATGTGGGCAAGGATAAGACGGATTTCACACTGTATATAATTTGTAAAGGCGCTTCCTGTAGGAAACCTCAGAAAACCAATAGACACAAGACAGACAGTTTAGGGGGTTTTTACCGAATTTGGTTTCCTCCTGTGTAAATATTATAGCTAGATATACCTGCATGGGGCCCATAAGGTACCTGATCGGGCTAAATGAAATCAAATCAAATCAATTCTAGGCGCTCTTTTGGAACAGAGAGCTAATATTACCATGCAAATTGTTTTTATCTACCTCACTTTGGCCCATCTTCGGTGTCTATTACACGGTTGAACTATATTTTTGCACTCCAGACTCTGATAATCTAGAATACAATTGCAAACATCATCATTAATTATCTTTATTCATCCAATATAAATGTCTCTTGTGCTTGAGTGTCCACGGAAGGAAATTTCATAAAACTGTAGTTAACAAACAGTATATTAATCTTTTTCATAAGTACCGCAAGCAAGTATATCTGAGTCCTATTGAACTCTAAGCAGCGGTCTCCCTTTGAAATTTGGATATGGTTTCCATTGACCTGCATATAACTTGAAGTAATACCTCAGGCAGCAAATTATTATGGCTCACTAGATTGGTTGATTTATTGAAGTAATTAAAGTAAAATGTGTAGGCGCGACGCTGTCGGTTATAGATAGGCCCTAAGAGATTAAAATTTTTGAAGCGATTGCCCCGTTCAGAGATAATTCTAACTAATCATTTAATTAACATTTCTAGCTACTCAGTTCACCTTCGGAACTGCACTCACACAATATTTACCAAGCTTTACACTTGTCGGACCAGTAACTTACCGAAATATTTTTAACCCACGTACCTCATATAATCATATGTTTCGCCCTTGAACAGATAAAATTTCAAGATAACTATGGCCGGAAGAGGTCGTGGAAGAGGCGCTCCTGGCGGATTAAAGGGAGTAACATGGGATTATGATCCAAATATGAAACTGGACTCAAAACCGACTGATCTGTATCCAGTTCGTCAAAATCCGCTGACGCGGAGCTTCTGTTGACGAATTTTCAGCCTCATCCAAATCTGAGAAGAGGAGCACCCTTCACTGCCACAGAAAGTCGGCAAATACAATACTATCTGAATCTGCAAGAACAAATTCACAGGGGACCATTATATACGCAGGCTAGTAGGCGAGATATACATGCACCGGCGAAGGCATTCAGTGAGGATCAAGTAAACAGCCAGTACGCAAGCAACCGCAAGTCTGATATCGATCCCTTCGTTGGAGTGGGAACCTACTCCATGAGATATGCGCCCAAGACTAATGAATTACCCAAATTGTCTGACCGGCCATTCAGTGGGTGTCCCCTACGAACCTAACATTAATTTTGTAGCATATTTGAGCTGACTATCGTTGATATTAAGATAAGCAGATGTTTCCCAAAGAACTATGGCCCACTCTTGAGGGTGAAGATATGGCTGTCGGGCGCTCGCAATACAAGCGACCTACAGCACCCAAGACCCTGATCCTTAGCGATCGGTCTGCAGTTAATAGAGATAAAGACAAGTCTCAAGTGGTGCTCGACAAAATACACTCCCTCGGCGTTGAGAGTGATGATGGGGAGGAGGATGGCGAAGATGGTGAAGCAGAAGTCGACGAAGAGTTTGACGATGACGAGATTGGAGGGGATTACGATGCGGAGCAATATTTTGATGGAGGTGAGGGTGATAGTGACGGTGATGGAGGTGGAGGTGCCGATGATGCATATTGAGACTATTTATTTCACGGACTAAACCAAACAAGACATCTTCACATCAAAGCTTCCGGCATGATTAAAATATTCGGCATATATGTCAGTTTGGCTACTTGATTAGGCCAAAAGAAAGGAGTCTTGAAGATTGTATAAAATCATTCGGCGTTAAAATTTAGAAGTTGTATTTACAATCATCTGGACTAGTCAAATTGGAAGTATGGATCTATTGTGAGTTTTTTTTATTTTTAATAATTTAACCTGTTAGGCACATCAGGATATCAAACGATTGTTAAAGGTTAGGGCAAACGCTCGCTGCCCGCAAGCAACACCATAAAATAAATAATGCTTTTCTATGGAAATGGTCATTTCGGCTGGATTCTGCCAACACAAAGTGAATCCTGACATTCACCTTACATAAGCACTCCCATTGGATCTAACTCAGTGCGAAAGGCTGAGCCTTTCGCCAACCACTGACTGGATGCAAGGCTGGGCACGCAGGTGCTCAGACAACCAATAATGGGTAATCCCGTAACAAGAACTTGGAAATATCGATATTGGTTAGAATTCTCATACAACGAACCGTACTCACTGAAATCACCACCTAGGTTAGACGTGTGTGGATACTGCTATTGGAAATAAGTCATGAAGGAGACATAGGTACTCCCAGCTCCAAGTCTAAAAGAGCCTGCATGTCCTAGCATAATCATAGACTCAATGGGATATTTAGCAAATAATGTACTTCAGCCTTAATCGTGAAAATCTGAATAAGGGAAAAGTTAGGGGGGACTATACTCAACACCTGTCAGTGGTGTCCACTACGAACCTCCAGCTCTCACTGTAGAGTCTGCTGAGCCGAGATTGAGTAACAAAGTCCTCACTTCAACGAGAATTCCAAATCGCTTTCGCGGTCTGTATCGTCTTCATCTCTCAATACATTCCCCTATCACCATTATCATGAAGCTAACCACGATCAGATCAGATGGTAGGGTCGAAGCCCTGCTCATCACCAACCCTTGATCATGGAGGAGATGCCATCCGAAGAGTTTCCGGAGCGTACCCAGCACCCGATACGGAGACGGCGGATTGGATCAAGTCGGCCTCGACTGTTAGAAAGAAGGGTGATATAGATGAATATGCGCACCTCGTGTGGTTCCGGTGTCTAGGCCTCGCCTGGCTGGAGCTACAGGTTTTTGATAAATTTTCATTTTTTTTGGGCCGGAGGATCCGTGGAGAAGATGGCTAAATTCTACGGGCAAATGCTGGGCTGACTTCTCACAATGTTTCAGGAGGGTAGTCGCGTCTTAGATTTAGACCTGATATTGGCACTAGGAGAGCTCTGCAGGCAGCGATTTTTATTTTACAGATGTTCTGCCTCTTCAGGAATGGATTCGTGACGGGTAATACTTGTGCATGACATTTGAATGAGAATTGATTACGTTGCGTGACTAGGTAGATATTTCAGAGAAGTAAATTTTCCAGCTTCACGTCCTGGATCTGGGTTCAAATATCGTCAGGAGAGGTGGTATTTTTCCACGGTAACTTAAGAGCTAGGATTCGAGTGATTTTGATGTTTCTCATTATCACTTGGCTAGGTCAGTCTTATGGCCCCCTCCCTAATCCTCCCCAATTGATTCCAGAGTCATCATCTAGGGATCCCTAAATCGTTTGGTCATACTTTTCTTGGGTTCAGCTCGAATTCTTTCACTTCAGGGACCCAAGGCTTACACAGGCCCCTCTCCCGTCTAGACTTCCGGCTTATGCAGCAGAAATTAGTTGAATAACTTCAACTCGACCATTATTGTTGCCTCACTACCAAAATCATGTATCAAACTGCCACTTTTGCAGGCCGGCGCGAAACCCATCTTTCACACTTTTATTGTGACTCCCACGAGTTTCCATGCGGAAGTCTGTTCGAGAGGCATAGGCTTGGGCCGCAGCGGCGCACATCTTTTTGTGATTGCGAAAGTCAGCCTTCTGGCACTCTCGCGAGCAATAGCTGACAGATTGGCATTTTGCACAGGGCTTGGCTGCTTTATCGACCGGGTATGGCCTGTGGCAGCGGCCACAATGCGGCACAGTAGGCTGGTTAGAGGAGACCACAACAGCAGAACCTGAATCGCTTGACTTGAGGGGACTCGATTGCTCTTGGGCCAAGTTACATCCAGTTTGGATCACGTGATCCTTGTCCGCAAGAGCCCGCTGCCGGGAATCCAAGGATGTTAATGGCGAGGCTGTCGCATCATCTGGGCCCTCGAACGACTGCTCATCAGTAGCAGTTGTAACGGAATTTTGCCTAATTGTAGCATCCTTGACATCCATCCTAGCGTTTTTGAAGTGAGTTTTTGGTTTCAACGTGAAAAGAAAGTGATTGCAGGTAATCGTCTTTTCCTGAAGCAAAAAAGTCCACTTGTGCCTTCGGCTAATCAAAGGCGGTGACAAAATTGGTAAGTTGTAGTACATACTAGTGGCCCTGAAATGTCATAGCTAGTTAGGCTGCAAACAGTTAATTGGAAAACAATAGTGTTACTAGGGACTTGAACATTGCATTCGGAGGGCAAGACTGAACACCTGTACGCGGTGTCTTCTACGAACCTGGGAGTGGAATATTCTCCCAGAGCCAAGTTCAGTAAAATTTCGCAATATCAAAGAAGTTGGCCCACGTCTCAAAATTTCAAATTACTCCACCGTGTCAATCTTTCACTCCCAAAGAGTCCGATTCTCGAATAAGCTTCATCAAGTCTACAAGTACGGCCTAGTACATCCTCAGTCCAATGACCACACCTCTCTCCGACCTTCTCTAGCCTCAGCTGGTCGCCAGCTACACACCCACGCCGATATTTATACTCGACGGAGGAAGCAAAGCGTGGCGCACAAATCTGGAAGATAGCTCTTTGGGATGGACGTGAGAGGGATCAGGACAAGTTTACAAGATGATGCAGAAGAGGGATACGTTTTCGACGGGCGTGAAATTTCGAATTTTGGCAAGAGTTTTACGAATTGAGCTTTGTGCGCGCCAAAACTTCGCTTGCGAGAGTGCAGTTGACACTATAAAAACAAGCAAGCGATGGAAGGTTTTGTGATCCTCCTCCTGGTGGTGTTCTCTGGTATAGTTTGAGTAGCCTGAGTACCTACTCCACTGAGGAAGGAGACACCTCAGATCATATTTCGCGCAGAGAAAAGTAAATAAATGTTAGAGGCATCTCTGGATAACTCGAAGGTTTTGAGATGTTTCCCTGGATGGGTATTCACGGATGAGGATTGACTTAGGGTGAAGAAAAAGCCACCATAACATCGCAGTGGTACTTGCAAATGAAATCCGAGGCATGAGCGCTCTAGTTATAATTGAGTCATCAATTGAGTACTTTTCTTTAATATTGTGTCATAGCTGGATATCTGCATAAACAATTAAAATCTGATGCAAAAAAATGCTTGGCTGGGTGATATTAGGTTCAGTGGTATCCAAACTTCTCTGGCTGGGAAATTATACCCTGTGATAATGGAGTGGCCAGTTGTTGCCACATCACATGGAGTTCGGGATCAATGAAGCCCTGGGAATTGTATCTCAGGATTTTGTCGGTAAATTTCGATGGTACAGATATATGAGGTTCTATGTGTTCGAATCCGGCAAAACACAACCACTTTTCTCGCGGCACTGGCATTCATAGATGACGAAGGGACGCTTGTACGATCAAAGGTTTTATATTTCCCTTTGGTGAGTACTTATGGAGGAGGGTCGACTGTTTGTGTAAGCAAGTATATCTCATAGTTGAGTGTGTGTGTGTTTTTATTGTACTACTTGAGTTTATGACTATCTAGCAAATTGGGCTCCTTTTTGACCCAGGCCATACCTTGTATAGTGCTCCTTGCCTCTTTTGTTACTTGTAAGATCATTGATATCTTCCCCTTGATGAATAGCATTCAGCTCAGTATTTACCCGTGGAATTCAGCCACTTTTACCACGGAAACTTCTACCCAAAAAAAATGGTAGCAATGGAAACTGCGTGCGCGGGAAAAAGTCTCAAAAAAACTGCAGGCCCAGCCAGGTGAAACCTAGACACCGGGACCACATGAGGTGCGCATATTCATCTATATCTCCCTTCTTTGTAACAGTCGAGGCCGACTTGATCCAATCCGCCGTCTCCGTATCGGGTGCTGGGTACGCTCCGGAAACTCATCGGATGGCATCTCCTACATGATCAAGGGTTGGTGATGAGCAGGGCTTCGACCCTACCATCTGATCTGATCGTGGTTAGCTTCATGATAATGGTGATAGGGGAATGTGTTGAGAGATGAAGACGATACAGACCGCGAAAGCGATTTGGAATTCTCGTTGAAGTGAGGACTTTGTTAATCAATCTCGGCTCTTCAGACTCCACAGCGAGAGCTGGAGGTTCGTAGGGGACACCACTGACAGGTGTTGACAATAGCCTCCCTGTAAAGCAAAGAAATACGAGCTGACTGCACAAGGAATAGTAATTATTAGGCTATATCTGATGTTAGGGAGTATGAAGAATGAACCAGAATTTGTGGCAAGGAGAATGCGAAAGGTAGACAAAAAGAAGCTGGTAAGGTGGCCGTGTTCCAGGAGTGGAAAAACTCATGGACACGTCCAGGGAACGAGATACTATCTGGTCATCGAGCTTCGGCAGAGCCTCAACATTGAAGAGCCGCAAATATTGATACAGATGAGACAACAGGCAGAAAAAGGATTACCTATAGAAACACATCCTCAAATATCCACCGGAACCTTAGTAGGGCTCAAAGCAGTATTGCAGTTCAGATAAGAAGTGAGCACAATGGTCTTCATTCTTTTCTGTATCAAAGGCAAGTCCGCGGAGTGATTAATCCAAAATGCCAGTGTGGATATCTGTCTCAAGATGTCAAACATATGGTCTTGGCATGTCATTAGTGGGAAAGAGGAAGAGGAGAGATGCTTCGAAAGGCAAAAGATAAATCTTTTGCGGCAATGCTGAACAGCCCTGATGATGTGGGGAGAATAATAAACGGATTCTGGTAATAGGCTGGTTTAAACAGTTCCGGCTTTCAGGAGAAGTAGAATTAGCATTAGACGAAAAGGTGAGACGATGTGGGCAAGGATAAGACGGATTTCACACTGTATATAATTTGTAAAGGCACTTCCTGTAGGAAACCTCAGAAAACCAATAGACACAAGACAGACAGTTTAGGGGGTTTTTACCGAATTTGGTTTGCTCCTGTGTAAATATTATAGCTAGATATACCTACATGGGCCCATCGGGTACCTGAACGGCCTAAATGAAATCAAATTTAGGGACTAATTATGAAAATAGTCTAAAGATGAATTTAAGGAATAAGATAGTATCCTCAGAAAGAACAATCAATTCAATCAACTCTGAATAAGATTCACATTAGTATAACTTTGCCTAACAAGCCAAGACCGAGATTTCGGCTAATTACCCAGGAGGGCTTCTATTGTCAATGAGTCAACGGCTCTTCCCAGCGCCCTGGACGACACAAAAGAAGTAAGGCGAAGCAACCATATAGCAATCATGCTCTGTCAAGACTTTTCTGACAATTAAGCACGACCTTCGGGAAGGAGTTGGAAGGAGGCTAGAAAGGCAGAGTGTGAATTTCCCGAGGTACACACAAGTCTGCAGCGCCCAGCTGGCCGGCCTCTTCGAACGCTTCAGAGGGGTCACTATGTCTTCGGATTAAGTCCTATTTTCAGTATGGAAGAGCCCCGCACCCAGTGGTTTTTGCGAATTTTCCCGGCTGCCATACACCCGCAAATAGCCATCGTTTCGTTAGCTGGAGAGGGGAGATAATGAGGGGCTAAGGGCTCCTCTTAGTGTATGATCAAGTGAGGACTTGTGAGGGGCTCTACTATTCGAGGCGAGCTATATCGGAGACATGGGAGGGGATGAACTACTGGTTTAGGTTTCCATGGCCTGTAGCTAGAGAGGACCTGCATGTCTTGTATGGTCAGACACTGAGGAATAACAAAGAAATAATTAATAAGTGAATAATCCCGTATTCTAAGAGAACACTGGACAAAATTTTTAGTCCTGCCCTCTTAGAGTGCGATATGTAGGATTCCATGAACAGGTTTTGCTACGTCGTGTCTCATGTTGAAGGTATGTTCAAGCTACCCTATACTTGCCCAAGTTCATGGCCCGTACAATGTACCAGTGCACCATAAAACCCTATTTTCCACTTCTCAGAGGATTGAGTGACTATTGATACTCATTGCGCACGATCCAAAGCGAGAGTAATCCCCAAAGCTGCTCCTTTGCATCCATATTTCTCAATAAGTTAACTTGAAGGAAATGTACTACAAATTTCACCAATACTTCCTTTTCAGTCCTATTCTTTGTTGTCTATGATCCTCTATCTGACCCTGTTTGATATAACCTCAAACATTTGATCATATTGAAAATGCCAAAATCACAAGATACTCAGTATTTCATTCATGAATCGATCTCTTTCATGATATATAATAATCATAACCTTTGATGATCTTTTTTTGCCCTAATGAAAAAGTCATCTTAGTGTCGTTCAAGTTCTTCGACGGATATCCAAGTTAAGATCTTCACTTGTTAACTTAGACAACTTTCCTTTGTTACAAAAAGCAGTTGATCCCGATTTATGTGATACTATTACTTAGACTCTTGTCATAATCCGATGTAGTTAATCTGCAATTCCTCATTAATTTATTGTTCATTGAGTAGTGTCTAAATCGTCAAGTCCAGGGATCAAGTAACATTGACCTGATCAATTGTGAGCTATTACGATTGGTGGTGTCACTTACTAAACGATGTTGATGGGGTTTTCAGCGTCTTTTCACGGCTCATGATGCCATACGACATTGTCATCCTCTACTTCCTCTTCAAGAATTTGACGTAGGGCAATTATTCAGTAAATTGATCATAGAAACTTATTTGAAGTTTGTCGAAAGTGCCTATTTCTACTTCCTAAAAATCCACTTGTGAGCCATTCAATCTGAGACCTGGAAGTTCTTTGACGCGAGATGGGATCTCGTGGTGGAAATTGTGAATGTGAACAAAGTAACTGCTGGACTGAGGACAATAGATGATGTAACTCGTGCCAAATGCGATGATTACAGTGGATGTGTCACGGCACTTCCCAGGATCAAATGTAGCTCGAATCATCTACTCTTTACCTAGCAAATCAAAACAGTAGAAAGTGTCATTTCGGATTGAACGATAATCATACAGCTGGCTGCCAAATGGAAATTTAAGCGGTGAAGAAATCGCCGATTCGAGACAGCTAACCACTAACTTGAAGTTCAGGAGTCTTAGAGCCAGTCGTTTTACATTTGGTTCAAACCGCAAAGCTAGCTTCGTAGTTTAATCATTCGTCGGATTTCTTATCAGGTTTGCTGTCATATATGCCACGAAAATTAAAACATAAAGGTTTATCTGTATTCTAGACGCTGCCTACCAACCGTTGTAGTGGATCACGACGTCTACATCTCTATCATACGAATGTCGCGCATTGCCACGCGACAATCCCTTCAATAGAATTTCATTTCGCCCTATGCATTAATTCGACAGCAGTATTCCAAACACTCGTTTATGGTTCTTAATTTACATCCGTACCGAGGATTCTAGCGGTCGTCTATCGCTGAGCATTTTGCCAAGGATAAAAGACCTAGATGCGGGTAGGGATCGATTGAGCGGCCGTGCCATCCATGTGACGTGCCGACAGAATGATCCACCGCAGGCGTTATCAGGATCTGCATCTTCAATTTCTGAGATGGAGCTATTTTGAGATATCCGTTTCCTTAGACCACCTATCAAGGGGGAATGTCCTGATATCATTGACAGGATATGTTATTTCTAGGTCAATAACAACCACGCCTATCTCAATTTATCGTTCATCATCCGATACTTCACGCACACTTAACAACTTTACTACGACTTCATTTCCGTCCCCCTACAGGTTCCAAATACATTTAGTATCTAGCAACAAGATGTCTACCTTCATTGACAACTCTGCGCATTTCACAGCGAACCCTTTGAGCAAAATTATTATATCATTTAAAGGTGTTTGCGCTATTTGCAATTTCGACTATTCGCCACGTAAACTTGATGAAAATGATGACCTACAAAGTTTACAAGTACCTCTGGAGAGTCTGATGATTTCTCTTTCTTATTATGCTCTAAATAACTCCGTACCATCATCAACAAATGCAGACATGGATATCCGCCTTAGTTCTATTCAGAAACGACTAGCTTTACATAGTTTTCAATTGACTTCTTTCATTCCATTAATCAATTCCATAACATCAAATGCTACAGACATCGAAGTATGGAATGAAGTGATCGAACTTGTCGACACCCACGAGCCAATGCAATCGCCGGAGACCAATCTTCCTTCTGCCAAGCAAGGTGGTGCGCGTCACAGGCGGTGTACGGCCCCATACGAAGGTGCCGACTGGATCACGGAAACGTTGAAAGAAGCGCGTCGTACTGAGCTGGCCGGTACTATTTTCGAAAATGTCGGCGGATTTTACGAAAAGTATTTTGTGGGAAAGACCTGGGCCGGCCAGTGTAAGGAAATCGCCAAGCGCTATGAGAATAGGCCAGATAAATCGACGTTCAAGTTTCCCAAGGATCCCACAGAGAAGAATGTCTGGCAATGGATAAAGGAAGTCCAAGCTGAGTTCATCGAGCCATACAAGCCCGATGAGTCAGGTGAAAGTAAGGACAACTTCCCCCTGCGAGCCGATACATTTCATACGACTGGACCCAAGCAGATCAAAGGAGGACTAGCCATTCGAAAGATTGATATCTTCATCAAGAGTCGAGAAAAAGCTGCAAAGGCCCTTGATTGGCGAGATGTTCTTGTTTTGGGAGAGCTGACTGAGCTTTCTTCTGCACACTGGGTCGACAAGTTTCTCCAGCTCTCGGTCTACATGCGGGAGATATTTTCGGCACAGCCATTGCGGCAATTTGCGCACGGGTTTCTCATGTTCGGGACGCAATTGCAGCTGTGGGTCTACGATCGATCGGGCCCGTATTCAGCTGAATCCATCGAAGTCGGGGAGAGCCCCGAGAGGCTAGTCTATGTCCTTGCGGCTTACATGCTTATGAGCGACAAAGAGCACGGCCTTGACTCGATCATCCAGCGCGAGAAAGGTAGGACAAGTGTCACTATCTGTGATGCGAACACGAACAAGGAGAAGAAGATCTATCTCCGGTCAAAGCCGCTGATCAGGCAAATGGCAATCGTCTCTCGCGGTACGACGGTGTACAAATCCTCCGATGCGAAGTTTGTGGTCAAGATCTCGTGGAGAGCAGTCGGGCGACTGTCAGAAGTTGAACTTTTGATGAGAGCACGCAACGTGAGGGGAGTGGCAACACTAATTGGGTCACGGAATCACGTCAAGATTAGCGACCTTCGAAGCTGGCTCAATTTTACGGAAGAAATGAACAGAGATATCCATCCCCTGGAGATGAAGATGACAACGGCTGGTAACTCTCTACAATCAGGATCGTTTAATCCGGATGGAAACGTCGAGTTAAGCAAGGGTGTCAAACGTGATAGCGAGTCGGTTGCCGGTGGGGCCAACAAAAAATTGCGGAGAAGCGAAAGATCGTGTGTCTTGAGTATTTCGAGGCAAGCTCTTCTCAATGCTTCAAAGGCGCGTGTACGCAAAAATGGCAAGTCGACTGGCTCGCGAAAGAAACCTGTGTCGAAAACCGTTCCCGTTCCCGTTCTCGTTCCCGTTCCCGTTCCCGTTCTCGTTCTCGTTCCCGTTCCCGTTCCCGTTCTCGTTCCCGTTCCCGTTCTCGTTCCCAATCCTGCAACAACCAACACCAATGCCGTGACCCAAGATGTGACTCCAGAAACCCCTTCAGTTCCAATAAACTTGGCTGCCGAAAGTAGCTACAGTGTCGCCGAGGGATCGAACTCGTCTTTAGGTAAACGGCCCAGGAATGCAGATGAGACTGATGTCGAAGTCCAGACGGTATCGGAGCCTAATCTGAAGAGATTCTGCATTTCGAGAAATGTTGGGGAGTCTTTGTCGGAAGCCGTAGCTAAACCTGTGTCCAATCAGATTACTAACGATCCAAGTGCTCCAGCTGAACAGGCCGTTGATAATGCCGAATCGGTTCCTGCAGTCAGTAATGCAGATGTCATCATGGCAGACGACTCAACGGTTTATCGGAATCGTTGGGAAACAGTCATTGCCGCCAAACCCTTCGGTCGAGCCATTGACGAGAAGACAACAGCTGTGGAACTGATCTGCGGCCTACGAGATGCGATTAAGGGTCATCAATCATTGTATATGGAGACTAAGATATTGCACCGCGATATTTCGATGAACAATATCATACTCACCGATCCGAAACGCAATGATGGATGTCATGGGGTGTTGATAGACTTGGACTTGGCAATATCGCTAACGGATGACGACTGTTCCGAAAGCTCGAAAACGTTAACTGGCACAATGGAGTTTATGGCTATCGGGCTCTTGAAGGAATATACTTATCCATCGAATGGCAAGTTTACCCATACTTATCGACACGACCTGGAGTCTTTCTTTTTTGTACTCATTTCAGCATGCATACGTTTCGGGTGGGGTAAGAATGAGTCACCTCATATTGAAACAATAAGGAAATGGTATAAGGGAAAAGCTGTAGACATGTACACTTTCAAAGCTCTTGCTATCACTAGCCTTGGCTTTGAGGACACACTTCTGAAAGCATTCTCGTCTAAATTTGAGTGCTTGAAAGACCTAGCGACAACTTTGCGGAAGATTTTGTTTGAGAGACAGAAAACTATATGGATAGCAACAGACCCTCGTCCATTAAATCTCTATAACTCGATACTGAAGGCTTTCGACGATGAAATTGTCAAAATGAAATGTAAGTCATGACCTTTAGAGTGAAGGCTTGTTCACATCATTAGAAGAAATTTTCATTAACAAAGTACGATTGTAGCAGCGCGATGACTAGGAAGCACTTGGTAAGAACAGATGATTTAGTGATAGTAGAGATTTTGTAGATAAAAAATCTAATACAACCGACAGATTTAGTGACCCTCGATCAGTACGCCTGGATATAAGGGAATCTCTGTATAGACAAATAGAACTGCTCTCTTTCCGTGAGTACGATCTACTTTACCTGTATGACCGGACCAACTTATTAAAAATGCAGATGCTATTTGAAAATAATAACAAATGGAATTATAAAGCTAGAATAGTTTAACTTGGATACCGAAATTTGGATGAAAGTAGGATACGAGAAGGTATGGGCCGAACTCTATCAATATGGCTGTAAGGAGTACATCACTAGTTGATGGGAATCGCTTCATGACATTGTAGAAATTGTAATATATGGTAATATATCGTAATATGATTGTTGTTTTGAGAAATGTAAATATTGTTCAATTTTATCTGTCTGGAGGTCTTAAGCAGTTGTATAATCGACGTTCCGTAGGGTACGAGTTGATAGATATGTAGACATTAGTGATGATTTCTATGTGGAAAAAGTATGAAGGCAGCGTAAGGTATGGTATTGACGGAAAATATAACTATATAGTGAGAAACTGTTTGGATTAGGTCATGGTCAACGATGTTTAGATTAATTGTGCGATGTTGCAGGCTACTGTTCTAATTATTCATGGGGTCATCATTGTTGAAATCTAGACCTGCCAGACCGAACTGCATGCGGTGCGGAGTAGACGAAACTACTCATTTTCGATCGCTACCAGCGTTGGTGAGGTCTCGGTGGTGGAATATTGTTCCATCACGTAATCAGAACATAATGTTTCTACCTAAGCAAGGTAGTACATATATAGACAATTAGATGTAGATTAGATGTAGATTAGACTTGTACACTTTTAACAACCAAAATATAAGTTCAGTAAAACCAAAAACCTCACTGATCCTAACCTTTTATCTTTGATCCTTAAATCCTTAATATCTTACAATTCGTACAGTATTGACTTGACGGTCAACGTTCACTTCTATCATTCCAGATACCCCCTAGAAATTTAATAATCATATGGGTTGTGAGTAGTCTCCGTTTTAATGTGAGTTGTTAAATTAATACCTGAGCGTGTCGCATAGTAGTCAGACATGCGTCTTGAGTATCGTATGCACGGTAAACCTCAAGCCCAAAATGATGATACGAATCAAGTTTTATATGCTACGTCCTGTATGACTAGCGTGGTTAGAATATGGGGAATATAACTGTAGATAGATAAAGACGTTGTAATCCTCTGATAGTTGGGACAAGTCTTCTACAATATTTTATCGGAATCAAATCTAGCCTCTCATTAAGCTATCTCATGAATTATTTCCAATGTCTATGATAACAGACGTACATATACAAAGTCGACAACAACTTTAAAGTCGATAGGAAACAGATGAGGTCGGTACAATAACGGCGGTCTTCTATAGAGAAGAGATGAGCATAGGAGTATTAAGTACCAGTGTAATTAGAAGACGTTGCGTTAAGAATAATACTCTTCCGCTCTGGGTACAACTGTCGTCAAATAACAGAATAGCCAATAGACTCTATCTTAACCAGTTTTATTTTGCGGTTTCGACGAGACGAGCCTGTTTACCTCAACCTGTCCCATTTGTTCAGAAACTTGATCTAACAGCACGTTGTGTATTATCATTTGACTCCCTATGAGATAGCATCCCAAGTCTCACTACGTTTATCCATGAAAGGAGGATACCGGTATGTGTCTGATGTTTTTACTTTACTACTTGAGTCTATGAATATCTAGCAAATTGGGCTCCTCTCTGACCCAGGCCATACCTTGTACAGTGCTCATATCCTCTTTTGTTACTTGTAAGGTCATTGATATATTGCCTGTGATGAATAGCCATTCAGCTTAATACTTACCCATAAATTTCAGCCAGCTTTTCCATGGAACCCTGTTAGAAATTGTCAAGGATTTCGCGGAGGAAATATCTCGAAGAACAAGTGTATAATTTCTGACAATAATTTATTGATAGTTGTATAGCATGTCGATCTCTCCTCTAAATATGAATTAATAATATATAATATTCCGTTAACTTAGAATGAACACACACAAATAAGTCTATCCTTAAATACAGATCCTCAAGACTTTAGTGATCCCAAACTCCCGGTGATCTAGCAAGAACCAGCCACCCAATCATGGCAAGTTAGCATTTCCTAGCTACTGCATTCCAGATACCACCGATCCTCATGTTGCCCAGCTAAGCTTAACCATATGCAATCGGATCAATTGAATTGATCTTGATGATCATACTTAGAAATCAAAACTTTCATATATACTAAGTCTAGATGTCCAACAAACTTTCTACCCAAAAAAATAAGTAGCAATGGAAACTGCTTGCACGGAAAAAAATTCTCAAAAAAACCTGCAGGCCCAGCCAGGCGAGGCCTAGACACCAGGACCACATGAGGTGCGCATATTTATCTATATTACCCTTCTTTGTAACAGTCGAGGCCGACTTGATCCAAACCACCATGTCCGTATCGGGTGCTGGGTACGCTCCAGAAACTCATCGGACGGCATCTCCTCCATGATCAAGGGTTGGTGATGATTAGTGTCAGGGTAAAGGTCATAGGATAGATTGACGAGGTCTAATCTGGTGATTGAGATTGTCTACAACGAGGAAAGGTGTCTCCTATTGAGTCTTATAAATATATATACATCGTGAATCGCACATCAGACGCGTCATAGCAAGTGACCATACGGTACCGCAATCCACTTCATCCCTTGACAAATAGGGCTCCAACATGCTCGAGCTAGCACGACGTTAAATAATTATAAAAAAAACTTCATGCTCGAGACACAACTCCATGTTAAAAACTTCCATCGTCAGAGCAAATTAAATTTGTAAATTCAAGCCTGTTCTCTAAGCAGAGGATATGGCTCCTCCGGCTCGCGGCAGAAAGCGCGAGGTGTCCGAGGCACTGTATGCAAAGCATTGCATCCAGAAACACGCAAGCAACTCTGGAAGGGGGCAGTTAAGTGATGGCATTGCCACCCGCTCAAATTCGAAGCTGAATGCAGCAATCTCTGGATTCGCTGTTTCTCGAGGACTTCAGGCATTAGTGCCCCAAAATGCTCCTCCCGATACTCACCAGGTCTTGAGTCCTAGGGACAAGGACACGATCGAAGAAGATCAGTTGATAGATAATACATTTCCTGAAAGTACAATCCCCACGCAGCAAATAGATACTGACAAAGAGGAAACCAGCGTGACCCCAATAGACACAGAAAACAGCGAGCCCGCAGGGAGCTACCGTACTTCCCTCATGTCAAAAGCCAGAGGTTTACTTAATCTAGTTGGACCGTACCTTGAAGATATGGAAAAGGAATGCCCGGGAGCAGGTGCAGACTTCTTAGCCCTTATCTCAGAGGGGGTATCACGAGATATCAGAGGATAGAAGATTTACAAGAGCTCAATGAACGAGCAAGAGCAAAAGCCCTCCACTCAAAGTGACAACAAGAGGACATGGGCCTCCAAAGCGGCTGCAGGGGTCTCGACCGGAACAAACATTGATGTACGTCGGCCCATGACAAGACCGACGCCTCCCCAGAATCAGAGCAAAGAAGACAAAAGGATCATGATTCGGCTAGATCGAGAACACGAAGCTCGAAAAGCAGACCCGTTTTTACTCCGCCAACAAGTCCAAAGGCTGATCCCAGACCCATCACTTGTTGTTTACGCATGGCAGGTTCCGTCCGGCGTGGCAGTACTTGCCGCATCGCCGGCAAAAGCAGCTAGTATTTTACAGCATAGTGAAGCCATTGCTGCAAGATTTGGTAATGCTACGGTGGAAAGACAAGAGACTTGGACGACATTTGTTGTCGGCCCTATTCCAAAGAAAGTTAACACATTAGACGGAGCCTATGACCCACTTGAAGGGCTTTTACTAGAGGAGCCGGCGATTCGAGCTATAAAAGATGACACTCCTATTCGACACATAGCCTGGACACGTCGGTCTACAGACTCTCTGAGCCCGTTTGGGCACATCAGAATTCATGTTCCTGAGGCGAGGGCACACAAAGTGCCATCCCTGATGCAGCTTTTCGGACAAGCAACAAGTGTCCAACGAGTTTCGAACAAGCAGCTATTGCGCACCTGCAATAAATATTTTGGCTTCTGTTGTAATGAAACAGTTCTGCATCAGTATCGATGCAGGATCTCTGTCTGTGCACTACTACATGTAACTCTTAATTCACTTGTAACTAGATTCCATCTTTAATGTAGTCACGTCTGTTTCTTGTCTTAGTCGCGGGGGTTAACTAAAACACAAGGCTAAAACATCATTTGGATAATGTTGTCAAGTTGAGACATTGGCACGTACCTCATCAACCCCCCAACTTTCGTCATACCAAGTTTGATTCCTGTATATAGATGTAGTCTCTCCTACCTCCAGAGATCTTCAGTTCATTGTATTAACTGAATATCTCTGAAGGCTATATTTATCGCTCCTCTCGTCAGCTCCACAGCTTTACATCTAAAGCCCCGTTCACCTGCTCCTGTGCTCGAATACCACTCTTCCTTCCTCTCCAACAGCCCGAAATACCTCTCGATCTTTAACCTCACAATAGCTTCCACGCCACGAGAACCTGCGCCCGACAATTTAAATGCGCCTCTTGCGGAATGGATTCTCACGAAGGTCCATGATCACGACAAATACAGTGCCTAAATTGTCGTGGGCCTCATGCCACGGTAGTAAGATGGTAGTTGGGGTCGTTTAAGGTTAAGCGATAACTGAGCCTCTATAGGCCTTCGTGTAGCTAGATAGCCTTTTCTCTTCTCATCGCACAACTCAATTATAATACTTAACCACGCACTTTGTAAACCTGCCCTGTGACACCTCACGAATCTACTGATACCTCTTGTCCGGCTCGCCCACGCAGAGATCATGGTGTATTCGTTCGCCCAACAGGGGCACAGTTGCGACATATACGCGCCGCTGGACGCAGAGAGCTTGCCAACACTTTAAGGCATAATCAGGAATCGGCCGAGAGCGGTGCCGAGACCCTCACTGAACTCAACCCTACCAATTAAATATGGTCTGGAGACAGAAAAATATAAAAATCAGACCAATCCAAATCATGCAAGTAAATGTTGGAAGAGGAGCTTACGCGCACAATATGGCTCTCCAGCTTGCACACGAAAATAATATTGACGCTCTACTCATACAAGAGCCTTGGACATTAAAAGATCTAACAGCGAAAAGGTCAATTTCACACCCAAAATTTGCGCTTTTCTCGCCACTAGACGAATGGTATGCTCGCCCCAGAGTTCTAACCTACATTTGCAGTTCACAAGGACTGCGCTCATACCAAAGTGCAATTAATACTTCTTCAGACCTACTGCAGGTGGTTATCTCCACCGGGCGTGGTCGGAAAATAGCTGTATGGAATGTGTACAACGCTCCAGCTGGGTCAATCAGAGCGGAAGAAGGTCTTAAAAGGTTAATCGAATCGACTGGTACTCCTGAATTTGTCGGTGGAGATTTTAATTTGGGAGACCCAATCTGGGACTCGCATGCCACGTACACTTCTCAGGGGGGCGCAGACTTACTAGAATGGGCAAGAGAGAAGGAACTTATTCTCTTAAACCCAACGGAAATGTCGACACACAGGGGCGGCGGAACGTTAGATCTAGCTTTCTCCTCCCTAGCCAGAGCTAAATGTGAGATCCCTTCTGACCTTCATACTACATCCGACCAGGAAACAATGGTGACCACCTTAACTGGTGAATACAATGCGATGGAAAATAGTGAGAGGCGACTACAGTATGACTCAATTAACGAAGTTTTATTTACAACTCTATTGAGATGCCATAGCGATCCCCCAGATCTTTCGACAGTAGACGACATCGAAAAAGAGGCGGAAAATATTGTTAAAGTGATCCGAATGGCACTCCAGTCTACCTGCCCTCGCGCCAGAGAGAAGAACCATGGCACCGTCTGGTGGAACAAAGATTGTAAGCTCGCAGCTCGTAGGTACTACGCAGCAAGACGGAAGGGAAAGCATGAATGCGGACGAAAAGAGCTCCGAAATGCCGTTAGACGTGCGAAGAAAGAGCACTGGACTACAAGAATCAAAAAATCGGAGTCTCTCCCAGAAGTATTTGAGATTGTGGATTGGCACAACACTCCGCCCAAGTATGAGACACCACCACTAAAGGGACCAGATGGGGAGCCCAAAATCCAGAACCCGAAGGAAAAAGCAGCACTACTCCATAGAGCGCTCCTCTCCCGACATCTGGAGGCAACAGATATCCCAGAAGAAGCCCCCTCGGTAGCCTCGAAGCGTATTCCTTGGCAACCATTCTCTGAAGTAGAATCGTTCCAGGCAACCTCTCAGGTATCTTCAACCTCACCAGGGGAGGATGAAATTACGGCTCCTATTATTCGACTCTCATGGCCAATATTAGGAGAGCGGATAACTAGGCTTTTAAATAAATGCGCAGTACACGGGGTACATCCAAAGATATTCAAGCGCGCACACATTGTTATTTTGCCAAAATCTGGAAAACGGGATCGAACACTACCTAAATCATACCGACCTATTGCTCTTCTTTCCTGTCCTAGAAAAGGACTTGAACGGCTCTTCGCACGGCGTCTCTCTTTCTGCTCCTTGAAGTTTGATATCCTAGGTAGGGACTAGTGTAGTGAAATAAGCCGACGGTCAGCTACGGATCTAACAATAGAATTGGTATGTGATGTTAATGAAGCACTCCGCAAGGGGAAAATTGCAGGTATGGTGACGGTTGATGTGAAAGGGGCCTTCGATGGGGTGCTGCGAAACCGACTTCTTTTTCGACTGAGGACTCAGGGATGACCGGAGAACGTAGTGCGATGGGTAAGCTCCTTCTTTCAAAACCGGTCGGCAAGAATCAGACTCAATCGAGAAGTATCAGAACCTTTTCAGATTCTATGTGGTCTACCACAAGGATCTCCAAAATCGCCCATTCTATTTCTTCTCTATGTAGAACCAGTCATGCGCCTTGCACGCGGATGTTTCGGCTATGCAGATGATATCGCAATGTTCGAAACAGGCCCAAATCTTGAGGAATGCAGTCAGAGACTACAGTTACGACTGACAAGAACTCTACAATGGGGTAGGGACAACGGTATTCAGTTTGAAATAACGAAGACTGAGCTCCAATATTTTCATAATAAGAGAAAATATCAGGAACCTCCCTTAATGATGGAGGACACCTTAGTTCTTCCGAATGATCACACACGCTGGCTTGGGATAGTCTTAGATAGGAAGCTATCATTCAAGGAACATATACGGCGAGCCTGCCAGCGCTGTCGAGTGGTCACTGACCATGTCAAGAGACTATGTAACACTGTGAAAGGTGCCCAACCTACTCTTCTGCGGCAAGGCTTCCAAGGTATAGCTTTTGCATCACTTTTCTACGGAGCTGAGACGTGGTATGGACCAAAAACGTCCAAGTGGGCAATAGATCAAGTCCAAAGAGCAGTTAATAGAGCAGTTCGAGCTGTATTACCAGTGTATAAAACTACCCCTGTCCTAGCACTTTTGCGGGAAACTGGATGGGCTCCAGCCACTATCTGGCTAGAAAGAATACACGATCGCTTTGTAACTAGAGTTGCCTCAGCAGACCCTAAGCACCCCTTACGAAGCCGTTGGAATACAAAACATCTCCAATGGATTAGGAGCCGCTAAAAGGTCTGATGGAATATCGAAATTGGGAGCAAAGCCAGAGACACAATTTGTTAGATCTTTTCATATATTCAGATGGGGCAATGAATAAGGAAGGAGAGGCAGATAGTGCGTATTGAATCTACCGGGGACCAAACTCAGAAATTACAAATGCGAAGATTCCCCTCGGTCGGACTGCAGAAGTATTTGATGCAGAAATTATCGGGGCAGTCGAGGGGCTAAAAGCAGCCATGGCACATTGTATGGCCAAATACCCTACAAATATTGTGGTATGTCTGGATAATGAAGAAGCGGCACTACGATTGCACACTGGCTACCTAAGCCCATCTAGCTCAGTCAAGATTGCAGAATTTCAGGAATTGAGGGAAAATTGGAAAGGTAGAGGGTGCAGTGAAAGTACAATGGGTTCCGGGTCACACAGTGATCAAAGGAAACGAGCGTGCAGACGTATTAGCTAGGGAGGCCTGCAGCGAAACAACTAAACGGACAGAAGCTTCGATATACCGAGCCAAAAGCCTCATAAAGGAGCGGCACGCGAGTAGCATCATCCAATTTTGGAAGGATCACGCTCCGAGTAGATATAGGAGTCTGAAGATACCTATGATAGGACAAATGCCTGAGGAATTGCAGATTTTATCTCGGAAAAATCTCGCATTACTCCTTGCTGCCCGCTCCGCTCACGGAGATTACGCCACGTATCACAGACGCTTCCAGCACCAAGACGCCAAGCTATTGTGTGTCTGTGGAGAAGAAAAGGCTCCGGAACATCCCTTTGCATGCAGGAGACTTGACCAAAGTAAAACTCCGAGACCATGTCCATCTCGGGGTAAGGAGGGGGACATCATGTGGATCCTCGGCACAACAACAGGGGCGAAAGAATTTGGAAAATGGTGCAACACAGCTCATCCAAACAAACAACAAGGTTTCATAGTGTAGAAGCAAGATTAGCGGTGACATTGATAGGATTGCTTTGAAACAACTGCACAAATTTGTAATTTAATCATAGTAATTTAAAAAGAAAAAAAAGGGGGGAGTATGAAGGAGTTAGGCATTGAGGAATTTACACGAATGAGTGGCCTAGAGCTCTACCTTGCATTAATATCGAGCAATAATTGCTAAAAAAGGGAGGATACAGTAGTGTTTTTTTTTTTAGACAATAGAATTGTCTGATAGTAATAGGCTATGCGGACACGCCAAACGCCCATTCTTGGGCATAGAGGCCGGGTCATACCCGTGAGCCTACTTGGTGTTAAATGCAAACAAGCAAACAAACGCACAATTCGAGAAATTCCAAGTTGCACATTCCCACCCTATTATCCATCTCACCCATCATCTATCGAATCGAATTGTAATTGTTTGCCATCGGCGGCATTTTAAAATGCCTCCGACGCGTAGAACGCACCAAAACGCGATCAGCGGAATCACCAAAGATCGCGTCATCAAATCCTACAAATTGCATAAATCTATACTAACTCTTGCAAGACAAAAACTTACAGAGAAAGGATTAGAGGCCTCCGAGAAAATTTTAGACTACATCGAGGCTGCGCTCGAA